ATTTACTTTTTTGACAAGGATATTAGACTGGTAAATGAAGGAAAAACTGCAAATACAGTTTACCTAGGTTTTTTTGTTTTTTTTTTTTTTACTTTTAGGTTTCTTTCAAAAGCAGATCCACCTTCTCTCCCTCTCATTTCTCCCTCCCCAGGTCCCACTGAGAAAGCTTTTAAAAAAAAAACCCTCGGGGCAGATAGGTAGCACAGTAGATAGAGCTATGGCCTCAAACACTTGATACTTACTAGCTGTGTGACCCTGCGCAAGTCACTTAACCCCAACTGCCTCACAAAAAAAAAAAAACACCCCTCCCCCAAAAAAACCAAAAACTTCCTCAAACATGTAGAGTCAAGCAAAACAAATTCCCCTATTGGCTAAACTCCCCACCCCAAAAGGCTGAATCCGTACTCTGATTCTATCACCTATTAGAATACGGGAGACATATTTCATCATGAGTTTGGAATCATAGTCACTGTGTTGATCAGAGTTATGAAGACATCCAGATTTCATTGTCTTTACGTTATCGTTGCTCTCATATAAACTATGCTCCTGGTTCTACTTGCTTCATTATGCATCAATTCAAATTAAGTCTTCCCAGGTTTCTCCAAAACCATTCCCTTCATCATTATTCCATCACACTCATGTATACCACCGTTTGTTTGGCCATTCCCCAACTTAAGGGAACTCCCTCAGTCTCCAATTCACAGCACAACAGCACAGAACAAGCTGTTATAAATATTTCTGTACATGAGTCCTTTTTTCTGTCTTTAATCTCTGTGGGCTATAGACCTAGAAGCAATATCACTGCATCAAGAGCTTAATAACTTTATGGATGTAGTTCAAAATTGCTTTCTAGAATAACTGTACAAGTCCACACCTCCACTAGCAGTGCATAAATGTAACTATTAATTCAACAGTCCCTCAATATTTGTCATTTCCTTTTGGGGGGAGTGAAGGGGGTCAATGCTGCCAATCTAATGGGTATGAGGAAGAACTTCAGAGTTGTTTTAATTTGTATTTCTCTAATTATGAGTGATGTAGAACATTTTTTCACATGGCTATTGACATCTTGAATTTTTTAGCCTCCAAAAATTACCTGTTCCTATCCTTTGACCATTTATCAATTGGGGAATGACTCTTAAATTATTACATATTTCAATCAGTTGCCTATATATCTTAGAAATGAGACCTTTATCAGAGAAACTTGTTATGAAGATTTTTCCCCATTTACTCACTCTTCTTCCAATTTTAGCAGTTATTAGTTTTGTGTAAAAGCTTTTTAACTATGTAAATAAAATTGTGCATTTTACCTTTTGTGACCCTCTTTATCTCGTTTCATCAATAACTCTTTCTTTAACCAGACATCTGAGAGGTAATTTCTTCCTTGTGTCTCTAATTTATTTATGATATCACCCTTTACATCTAAGTCATATACCCATTTGCAATGTACCTTGGTATATGGTGTGAAATGCTGGTCCACACCTCATTTCCGCCAAACTCAGTTTTCCTAACAGTTTTTTTTTTATTTATTTAGGGAAGACTGTCATTTTTATTATATTGGCTTAACCTATCCATGAATAATGAATAATTCTACAATCATTTAGATCTGTATATATTCATATAAAGAGGATTCTGTAGTTTTGCTCATATAGTTCCTAAGAAACTAGTCAGTCACATGCTATGCAACCTTTAGTCAGTCTCTCCGTGCTACCATTTTTTTCATACAACAAGTGAGGTTAATTCCTCCTAAGATGTGGTAAGCATATAAGAGCCCTTTTAACTCTTTAGGGAAAGATATTTTACAATCTAAGGCTGCATTGTTGTAATTTATGCTGGTACATGGCTTCCGTGGCACTAAACTGCTACTATTTGTTTTATTAGATTAAAGCAGGCATAGAATAAACCCATTTAAAACACACACACACACAAAACACATGTTCCAAAGTATTTCATATTTTTGGTAGTTATTTTAAATGGAATATCTCTTTCTCTTTCTTCTTGAAGGATTTTGTTGATACATAAAGAAATGCCAATTTTTTATGTGAGTTTAGTTTTTATCCTACAACTTTCATGAAATTGTTAATTGTTTAAATTTATTTTAGGTTGACTAACTAAGGTTCTCTAAGTAAATCATTATATCATCTCCAAAAAGGATGATTTTGTTTCCTCTTTTCCTATTCTTACACCCTCAATTTCTTTCTCTTGTCTCATTGCTACAGCTAGCTAGACTCTAGCACTATGCTGGATAGTAACAGTGGTGATAAAGGACATCCTTGCTTTACCTCTGTTCTTCCTGGAAAGACATCTAGTTTATCCCCTTTACAGATGATGCTAGGTCTTGGTTTTACATAGATACTATTTATCATATAAAGGGAAAGATCCATTTTTTTCCCTATTCTTTCGTGTGTGTGTGTGTGTGTGTGTGTGTGTGTGTTTTAAACAGGAATGGACATTGTATCTTCACTACTTGGTTTAACTCCACCATTCTCATGTCCCAACCCCATCCTTCTCTTCTATCCCCCAGGAAAAGCTCATCACCAGGTAATCGTCATCACAGATATTTCAATACCTTTGCTAGTCATACCTTATCAGGACCATCAATTGCCTGTGACCCTCTAACTGGAGGGCTGCAGAGAAAAGCAAAAAACTCCTCCCAAAGCCCCCATTTAAAAAATGCTGAGAAGCCCAGCCAGTTCTTCCATTTCCCAGCAGCAGGCTGCTTGGTTTCATGTTGACCCAGGAAAAGCTCATCACCAGAAACTCCCCATCATGATGATTTCATCAGTGCAGAAACCTCATTTCTCACCTGGCTGCATTGCTCTAGGACTTCTGATTGACTTTTCCACCACACCCCTAATCGTGTACTCCCCTCCCTGGCTTTCCCATTTCCTTTTGTGTGTTGTCTTCCCCCCATGAGACTATAAGCTTCTCAAGGGCAGGGACTGTCTTTTTTTTTTTGCTTAGCACAGTGTCTGGTACATAGTGGGTGCTTAATAAATGTTTATTGACCGTGTAACAGAAAAGTCAAATGACTTGTGCAGGTTCACACAACTAATAAATGTTTGAGGCTGGATTTGAATTCAGGTCTTCTGGACTTGAAGTCCACTTTGCTACCTACTTGCCATCAAGATGCTTGATTTCATGCCTAAAACTTGCCACATGTAATAGACATAGTAGAAAGAACTCCTATTATCTCACAACAAACCAGCTGAGATTGATGGTAAAAAATTACTCATTTATGATTCCAATTTTACAGATGAGGGAGCTGATGCTCAGAGAAGTTATGGGTCTTGTTCACAATATTTTTTATACATATGTGATTTCATATTAGTATTTCACAGGGAAAATTATTCATAGATATTTTCTCCCAGAACCCATTTCTGTGGGACATCATAGCAAGATTCTGGGAAGTTCTGATTGAGGAGCCTCTGTACTTTGGGGAATGGACTGAGAAGAAAGCTCAGGGATAAGTATGATGTTTTTGAGTATTCAGTTCTCACACCCACAGCAATTTACATCATATGGTTTTTGGTGCCATTACATGTGACACGACAACACAGTGGGATAAACCTATAAACTGCCATCTTTTTAGAGCAGTTACAAACATTCTCTGACAATACTGCTGTGTTATACCATAGATCAAGCTATTCTTCAGGATATGGTAAAAAATACAGTTCATAACAAGTCATCCAGAGGACACAGAAATGCTAAACACTTGTAGTACAATTTTTTTTTTGGCGAGGCAATTGGGGTTAAGTGACTTGCCCAGGGTCACACAGCTAGTAAGTGTCAAGTGTCTGGTCTGAGGCCGAATTTGAACTCAGGTCCTCCTGACTATCCTCTGCACCACCCAGTTGCCCCAGTAGTACAATTTTTTTAAAAAGATGACCAAAAAGAGGAAGAAATCTATGTGCCAGGTCAGACAGGACTTGGGCACACAATGCACTGACAGACCCTGTTGTCTCATGACTCTGGAGGCAAGTTTGAGGACTAGATCTTAATTAACCAGAAACATCTTTACAGATTAACAAGAATACAATAAGTCACATTTCTGGTGAGTTTTAAGGAAAAGAGTGTAAGAATTAGGATGTCTATTTTTTGCAGAAAAGGAAACAGCCTGCAGAAAGTTAAGTGACTTGCCCATAAACACTCCACTCCACAGTCAGTGCCAGCATCTGCCTCTCTGAGTTATTGAGAGGATTACATGAAATAACAATATGTCGAAACACTTTGCAAACCTTAAAGCATACACATTGTAGTTGTTACAGGAACCATTTCTTTGAATTTCCTGACATAAATTGAAAACCTTGCTATAGACACCCCTTCGATGTACCAAATGTACTGTCACAGACTGTACTGCCCACTTCAGAGTTAAACAAAAGGAGAAAATGAAGCATATACAGCATAGACAAGTTTATAATCTACTGGTTCCAACTAATTACGGCCATTCATTTCTTGATAATGATGTCTTGGGCAAACTTTAAAATTTTTAAATTAAGTCTCCCAAATCTCTTTGTTGTATGCCCAGAAAACAGGTTTATTTGCATGCTTATACTACTTAAGAACAACACAACTTAAGGTTTATACACACACACAAAAAAAAAACCAGTCTTCTTCAGACTAGAATTAAGCAAAACAAATTCTAATTACTTTGTAAGTTCTTTTTAGGATTAAAACAGTCTGGGGATGAGGTTCCAAGTGAAAATGCCTGCTCAGCAATAAAATTATTGCTTAAAAAGATACTTCCTCTGCCATAATTACAGCTTCAAGCAGTTTTCTCAAAAGGATAACCATCATAGGAGGTCAAGTCCTAATATTTGGAAGTATCTTAAAGTCATCTCATCTACCATCTGCCATCTACCTAGAAGTCTCAAGCAACATTCTCAGACTGCAAGGTCACTATTTACTGAGTGAATACACACAGGATGACTGCAATCCCTGGGTCAGCTTGTATCATCTCCACAAGGCCCACACCAGGGCCAGCAGTTAGAAAGCATGCCTACCTGCCAGCGCATCCCGATAGAGCTGCACGAAGTGACTGAAGATGTCCTTGGGCAGACACTTCTCATCAGGCAAACACTGAAGAAGGATCACAACCTCTGACTGCCCCACTGCATGCATGCCCTTCGTAGTGAAACACCAGCATTTCCTGTTCACATCTATGGATGGAATAAGACTGTCAGCAAGAGATTCAAGCTTTCCCTCTCTGTACCTGCCCTATTCCTGTCCCCAGGCCCAAACACAGGGCAAGTGAGGCAGAAAAGGGATGCCTTTGTACAAAGGAACCAGGCATATCATGATTATTCTCTACAGCACAGTTAGAAGAGGCACCCTGTGACCCTGCTGCCTCTGGAGGGATAAGAGACAACTGAAAAAGAAGCATAGAAATCTCTAGAGGAAATTACTAGCAGAATCTTTGAAGGGGGGAAGGATCCTTGGATAGCATCTGACCCAGCCCACAGATGAAGTAGGACTCTCCATGACCATAGCCAGAAGTGGGTCCCCAACCCTAACCTGGCACCTACAGTGACGGGAAAGCCACTCCATCTGGGCCCAAACCCAAGCTTGGGGGACATGTGTGTTGGCACTACTGGGCCACATCCCCCACAGCCCCTTGTTCTGCCTTCAGGGCCAAGTAGAAGCAGCTTGATTCCTGAAGTCTAAGGCAAGAATCCACATAGTGCCACAAATACGGACCGCTCTTCTCCGAGGAGAAGCCACTTTCCTAGGAGCAATAATGATTTAATCAACATTATTAATACAGAAACTGGCTTCATTACTTTGGCCTCATACTGTACCCTACAAGAAAGACATTTTTATCAGCCTGTAAAAAAGTTCTGTACTTACTGCAGAAGAATAGTTATGACCACAACTCAATACTATTGGGGAAAGGCACATTTAGTGAGTGTGGGTGATACCTGTAGGGACTGACATGAAATGCTATCTTAAATTTCTGGGTGCTGGTATAGAATGACAGGTTTTCTGTCTCTATAAAATATGGAGATTCGACAAGATCATCTTTGAGATTCCTTCCAGCACTGAAAGTCTATGAATATTATTTGAATACATGCAGGCTAAGATTCAAAAGTTAATTTTCATCGCTCATTATTTTTACCACATCACTCCAGCAAAATGAGGATCCTGAACTAAGATGAAAACAAAAAATAGGTCACATTTCTCAAAATGCGACTTCCGTCCTCTCCTGTGAAGATGTCCACATAAAGCAGTTCCGAGTAAAGATACTCGGACTCTATTTGGTGAAAGGAAGCAATTTTATCTACGAACTATCTAAGTATCCAAATTCCCTCATTCCTAAATTCTTTCAACATAGGTAAATGACTCAAAGGAGTTCTCTGCCAGTTCCTTCCTAAGTGTAAGATAATGCACTGAGTCAAGCATGGAGAAATAAAACTCAAAGTACTATGCCATTTGATCTCAGAAGTCACTCACGGCTTGGATGAACAATGAGGACATGTAACAGAAAGAGCCCTGGGTTCGAATTGTGAACTCTTCTTCCAGGTGTGATAACGGAGAAGTCACTTCTCAGGGGTTTAGTTCCCTTCTATAAAATTTGAGGTTGGACAAAGAATCTATCTAATCTCTTCAGCTCTGCCTCCTACACTCTGAGCGGGTGAGAGAGGCTGCTGGGCTAGTGGGAGGTGGCCTGATGAAATCCTACGGCTCCAAAGTAATGCAGAGGGCTTAGAGCAAGTGCTGAGGTGTTTCTCTAGCCACCAGAGCCAAAACAAGAGCAGCACCTAAGGACTGTCCTCCCAGGGCTCCCGGGGCTCCTGCTCTTACCTTGGGTCCAGAACAATCTTGCTTCCCCAACACCAGCCTGGAGAGCAGAAAACACAATTCCAGGCTCCTGTTGCCATCTAATATGGCAAAACAGTGTAGGTTCAAGCACACAGCACCACCTTGAGCTGCAAGCCTGGCACTGACCCTTGGAAAGTCAATGCCCTTCCTGGGCCTTAGTAGTCCTATCTGTATCACAGAGACAGCCCGAGCCCTCCTGTCTACTTTGCCAGGTTGTGAGGAAGCACTTGGTAGCCCTTAGGGAAAGGTGAGCATGAGCCTGGGCAGGGCAGTCCCCTTGTGAGTTGGTTTACATCCTGCAGTCTCACATGGCAGAATGTAATGAACCTGAAAAATGACACTGACTCTCTGTGATCCTAGGCACATCGAGGCCTTTAAGTTTCTGCTTCCTTGTCTGCCAAACGGCATAATATACATACAAATGATAGGGCAGGCATTCACTGGAAACCAGGGACTACCTGGTGGGAACATCTCACCATCTAGTCTGACATGGTCCCAGTGTCTCCCCACTAGGAACAGCAACCCCCCAGACCTCTACCTCCAGAGACTCAACCCTACAGGACTGGACTGGGTTATCTTGACCAGTGGCTGAAGTGACTGAATGATAGAGCTAGCCGTTCCCAGACTACACTTCACACCAGCTGAACAGCAGGAAACTAGAGCCTCCTCAGAGCATGCTATCTGCCCTAATGCCCTAATGCTGCCTGATCTCTGAGTGCCCCATAGCTCTATTCATCCTCCTTGGCTCTCCCCCGATCCTAGACTCCTTCTTGAGCTCCCCTATATTATCACATCCAGTTATTTTATAAACTCCTCAAGGGCAGATACTGTCGCTGTCCATACCAGGGCCTATGTCAGTGCCTGACATGTAGTTGGTGCTTAGTAACTGCTTCCTCAGTCTTGGGGTCACAATGAAAGAATCACTTTGTAAACTGTAATGTGTTACAGAAGGCTGAGTCATTTTTTGGGGGGGGGGGGGCTAGGCAATAGGGTTAAGTGACTTGCCCAGGGTCCCACAGCTAGTAAGTGTTATATGTCTGAAGCCAGATTTGAACTCAGGTCCTCCTGACTCCAGGGCTGGTCGTCTATCCACTGCGCCATTCTTGCTGCCCAGCTGAGCCATTCTTGATGGCAATATTATTAACCCCATCCAACTGATGAGAAAATTGGAGCTCCGGGACATTACAGGATTTGCTGAAGACCACAGATGAGTGGCCAGGTCTTCTGACTCCAAGTGTGGCCATCAACTGCTCCTTTACACACCAACCAATTTTTATGTTCAACTTCCAGAAGTTACTGATGTGAATACCCTATTTATAACCAATGCTTCTGTAAAACTCAATTCACTTTAATTTAAGAAATGTTTGGAAGAAGAGCCCACTACTCACAATTAACAATTTTAACCATTGACAGCAAATTTGCATTTAAAACAAACACCAGTGGGTCAGGGCCGCCATCCTCCAGCTGCTGCATTACGGAGATCTGGGAAGGGCGCTCCTCCACAGCATAATCTTCAAGGAGAAAGAGAGAGAGAATGAAAGGAAAGTAAACTGGAGGGGGGGCCCACACATGGAAGAGTAGCAACCTGCTCAACCAGAATCTCTTTAAAAATCAACTAAGTCAATCAGAGGGGAAAAATGCCATTTGACTTTACCCAACTTCCTACCCCAGAAAGGGCTTATGCCAGAGATCCTAAGGCTGGTCTCTTCTCCCTTTATCAGAAATTACCCAGCCCAAACAGTTTCACATATGTGTTCCAAGACCAACATTTCAAATAATTCAGTCACAAAAGCAATTCTGGTACCAGGCCCAACTCAAGGGCTCTGTAACTCCAATATCAGCATCAGAAAATGGATACACTGATACTTTTCAAAGCTCCAAATATCATTATCCTCCATGATCTCGAGTCACAGAGCTATCCGTCAGCTGGAAGCTCTCACACTAAGAAATCAGGGCTGCACGAGCTACGTTCAGACCATGAAGATTAGGTCCAATCTGGCTGACGCACTGGCAGCGGTAAGAGGGAACTCTATTTGGTGGTCTGTTAAGAAGGCAGAATCAAAAAGTTTTACTTGTGGCTGTGGAAGGTGGTGGTACACATTTGTCCACCAATCAGGGAATTACCTTCCCAGACACAAGGAAGCACAGTCATCTGAACTGTACTGTCAGAAGTATCCTTTTAGGGGTGCCTGGCCTCCTTCAGTAGAACATGTTAGTGAAGGTGAATGTTCATTATTCTCGTCATTCAATGTCAAGACTCTTTTATTTAGGGTGGTTTGATAGATACCTCCCAACATCAAGAGTGGCCAACCATCATTGCCCTCCAGTAGTACCCTCAAAGCAAAGAGAAAGAAAATCTATAATATCTTGGGGAGAGGAACAGTGGAGATAATTCTGATAAGATGTATTCTGAAATACTGAAAAAATTTTACAGTAAATATACAGAGAAGCATGCTCTAACCCGGGGCTTCTTAAACTTTTTCCACTCAGGATCCCATACAGGATCACAACCCACAGTTTAAGAAGCGCTGCACCAACTAGAAACAGAAGAAAAAGCTTTTAGAGCAGTTGGGTGTACAGCGAAACACAGAAGGCAGCGACTGTGCAGGGCTCCATCGACGGCATTGGAGAATCCCGGCTCTTTGTTTAGTCAGCTCAATTACCAGCAGAAAATGAAGTTATTTAACCCTTTGGTGCTACTCACCTCCTTTGACCCCAGTAGAAATGAGGATGGGAGGGAGGCCATCTTCTGGAATCAGGTTCATTGCACTTCCAACAGGACTTCCCACCTGAGTTATACTCCCCGAGAACGCAGAAATATCAGTCTACAAAAGGCAAGTGTACGTAATATTAAAGTGAATTAAAGACTTGGGTAGAATATAATGGGGAGAGCCAAATGGGAATCTGACAGCCTTTCAATACTCTTTCTTTAACATATAACAAACATTCATTGAACACCTACTGAATAATAAGAACCTACTATGTACAAAGCCCTACACAAGGCACTTGGGGAAAATGAAATGTTTAGTTGAGACATGGTGCCTACTCTCACTGAGCTTCCAGTCTACCAGGAAGATAAGACACCAACAGAGAAGGATAAGATACACTATTCCACACTGAGCACGGAGGGCCCTAGAAACTGAGAAAACTAAATGTTATGTGAGGGGGGAAGGCTCAGCCCTCTACCCTTTGCACTTATCATATGACCTATAGTGTAACCATCTCTGTATTTGTTTTATCTCCCTTCCTAAAGTATAAGTTCATTAAGGGCCAGCAAAGACTGTGCCTAGTTTCATTCTGTCACTCCCACTACGAAGCACCTTGCATTTTAAACACACACACACCACACACACACACACACACAGATAGCAGTTAATAAATACTTGCTGAACTGAATTACGGATAAAACATGACAAGTACTTAAGATATTTATCCCTCTTTCAACCCTTACTGTACAATTAAATAGTATTTCACACTTTATTCTTGTTTGCCTTATAAAGGCCTCCAGATTCACAGAATTCTTAGAACAGGAATGGTCTTTATACATTAGCTGGTTACAAATGAAAAAACGAGACTCTTGAGAAACTGACTTGTCCCAAATAGTTAGAGCCCAAGTCTCTCAAGCCAGAGTGCAATGCTCTTTCCTTTATGATTCTTTCTCATATCAGGTAAGAAAACATCAGAGAAGTTGGAGAATCTGGAGGTTCTGTTTTGGAATCTCAACATGCTCTTCTTACCTCCCAAAGGCACAAGTTATAGCTGGATATGCCTAAGAGCTGATCTGATAATAAAACAGTGAAACTTTCTAACAACCAGAGCTGCTCCAGCCCACGGAGGTCTTCAAACAGGAGCTGGTGTTCAGGGCACTCCTGTGTAAACGACATCTGCAGTCCCTTCCAACTCGGAGCATCTGTACTCAGCACCAGGCATAGTGCTAAGATGGGTGAGTTCTCTTACCTCTGCTGCCAGTGGACTGCTGCTCACTGGCTGGGCTGGCTCATGCGACACAGCCAAGGCTCCCGTGGAGGAAGGACCACTCACTGTTAATTTGGCTGCATCGGCAACTTCCCCGTTAGGCAAGATCCCATCGGCAAACCACACTCGCCTTTGCTCTCGGGGTTGAGCCACTTAAGGGGCCAGAAAAATAAAAGAGGCGTCAATTTGACAGACATCTCAACGTCACCAGCTCGAAGGGTCACCCAATCCAGGGATGCAGAGGTGACTATTGATGTAACTGTCTTTGGAATCTAATTATCACAACTCCCCACTCATGGGGTTAAAAGCAACAATGACAAACAGCTGCTTTTAAACAGTGTCTCACTCTTACTGCAACAGCACACCAGAACAGCTCAAACGTGTGACACACATTAGGGGCTCTCACATTGCCCTGCAATAGAATCACAATCACTGACACATTTCGCTGACCAAAAAAACTGAGGAAGAACAGAATATGTCCAAAATAAGTACACGCAGAAAGCTCCTGGAAAATGAATTAGTAATAGGGGGAATGTGGCCACAGACCTTCAACAGCTCCAGTAAATAAAAGGTTATCTCCCTGGCACCTGACTATCTAGGAAAGGGATGTGATTAAAAAGAGCAAAAAAGATGCATGGAAGAATGCTGGAGAGGCCCTAATGATCAAGATGGAAAGAGCAGAAAACAAAGGTACAAGAACTGTCAAAAGAGTGGACTGGATTCCTTGGGGCCAACTGGAAACGAAGAAGGAAAAGGCTTTGTAACATGGAATAGGGAGAAGGCTGTCCCTTTTTCTGACTCTGCAGGGGTTGTACCTTTACTCCAACTCTGGAAACTTTCAAACAATCAATTAACAGTCAAACAAGAGTGAACCTGGGGAAGAGGAACCCCTACCTCCCCACCCCCAAAGTGGCAAATGAAATAAAGGGATCAATGGTTTTAAGAAAGAAATCTCGATCTCAAAAATATAGGAATTGTGGCCAAGTGATGGTCAGACACTAAAGGGAGATGGGAAGAGTATGATCAGTCAGTGAGTCAGAAGTCTCTGCTTGTCAAAGTGGGGCAGGAAGAGTTACTCAGACAGAAGGGGGCACTGCTCAAAGAAAAGGAAGAAAAAATGATAATGACTATTAGAAAAAAATCTCCCTGGCAGTAAGATCATTAAAGAGAAACATATACTTGTTATTTCTGTTATTACTATTAATAATAACTCTTGGAACTTGTAAATTCTCTTTTAGCGGCAATCTAAAGTGCTTTGCAGTCATCCACTGATGTGAACATATCACCCAAACTAAGGTGCAAGCCTGTCCATTCTGTATTTGTCATGTGCCACTCCCAATTTAACAGTTAGGCTAAGTACAAGGTATGTGGACCCTGTCTGGAGGTTGTTACAAATCTGAAGGAAGAGGAGGAGACAGTGTAGGACTGGCCAGGAGGAAGGCCAGGACGTCTGTATCCTATGAGGCCCTTTTCGTCACCTCCTAGGCTCCCATAAAGGGCACAAAGAGGGGACTAGGAAAGGAACCTCAGACAAAATAGACTATACCCACATCTCCTTCAAGAACAGGATTGGCAGCTACTTTGCTGTCCTAGAGTAGCTTGGCAAAGGGGAGGGGGGACGGTGTCACCAAAAGGTCAGGCAGCACAACACCATGTTTCACATGCCCAGCGTCTCAACATGATTCTCGCCTCCTTCTTCCACTTAGCTCCCACCCAAAGGGATCTATCAGTGGCATTTAAAAAAGGTTGCCACCAAAGCACGTTGGCCCCTTTTCAGAGGGGCGTGGAGAAGGGGAAAAAACCGAGTGAGAAAGAGAAAGAGAGAAGAGTGTGCAGTCCCCTACCTTCTGCTCCGGGGCGCTTTAACACTCCCACAGGCACCATCACAGTGGGAGGTGGAGAGCTCAGTGCTCCTGAGGCCTGAGCTTGCTGCAAGGGAGGGATAGTAGAACAGTACTCAGCAGGATTGTTAGGGTTAGGGCTCTGGCTTGAGGCACTCATCATGTTCTCCCAGGCTTGAGCTAAAGCAAATACAGACACAATCAATGTGAATGGATTATAAAATATGGATACCAAGATCTGCTCCTGCTTAACACGCATGGCAAGGCCTTCTTCCTTGTGATAAAGGTATTAAGGAAATAGGGAATTCTGCTCAACCAAGGAAAAAATGCAGCTGGGTAAACTGTTATTTAGTAGAAGCAAGTAAAAATTACATAAATTTTTTTCCATCTGGGTTTATATTCAATTCTTAAGATCATACATAAGTCATTTGTTTCTTTCAAAGAGGAATATCATTTCCTTTTAAAGGAAATTAAACATCAAGTAACTAATGGACAGGTTTTTTTAAGTGGGTTAACATGTTCTGTTCTTTCCTTTACATTTAAAGTCTTTACAAATGTTCTACCAAATTTTAAAATCTGGGGGTTTAATACTGTAATTAACTCCTGTGCATGATTTTCAGTTTCAACCTAATAAACTTCTAAATTCTTTCGGGGCAGGGAGTAGGGGGTGTATATAAAGATCTCATCTGAAAAACTCCAAGGCCTGAGATTCAGCAGACACCGTGCAGAGATGCTTTGGTTTAGCTTTGTATACAAACATCTCCACCTAGTAATATGTGGAGCGATCATTAATAGCCACTGCTAAATTTGGGTTGTGTCTCAAAGCACATGACTCATCCATAGATGAGTGCCAATGAATGAACATGAAATGTGCCGCAGCATATACAAGGAAATGCACTCAAAGTGATCATAAGGAAAATGAATATACTCCAGGGGAGAAAACATATGAAAAGTGTTTAGTAAACTTGAAGATGCTATCTAACTGCCAGGTGTCACCATCATTAGGATCAATTCATCTGTAATGCAGGCATATTCCCTCTAATCTGAGAAAAGGAGCTAGAGAAATGGGAGGTGATGGCTGTGCCCCCACGTTCCTTCAGCTACCAAATGAAGGACCCGAGCTCCGTGATGTCTCCCATTCCTTCCAGGGCTGACTATTAAAACTCAGGTACTGCAGCACAATTACCACATGAGCAGAAACAGGCAGAATGACAAGTGCTGGGAAGTGCCTTCGCACTCAAAACCCCCCACCCCATGTCAGAGTGAGGAGCCACAAGACTTGAGATGCTAGCTACTTCAGTCGTCAGCGGCAGGCCAGTACCAGGACAGGGTCTCAGAGCCCTGGGCCAAGTTCATGGGGTAAGAGAAAAGGAGAAAGGGGGGGGGGGGGGAGGTGGGAGGAGAGATGGCAGAGAGAGGGAACACCGAAAAGCACCAAATTAAATATTAAGAAAAAGACTTGGCCAAGCCATGCAAGAGGAGAGATGCTTAAAAAACCAGGACAAGTGGGTAACCCTAAGGATGCCCTTTGGAGGGGCCTCCTTGGCTTAACACAAAGTAAGACTTGCCTATGAACCCTCTATCATTTCCTTCATCTTGGGCTGTGCCAAGTCAAAAACTGCTACTGAGGAGAAGACCTTATACGGCCAAGGAGGTGCCAGACACTATAATTAAGCGGGGCGCTCGTGTCTGTGGCCCAGTGCCAGGGAAGGAAAATGGAAGCAGTGAAATAAAAATCGATGGCCCCTAAAAGGGGAGCACATGATGAATGTCTGCTCAAAGTTATAAGAATCGAGAAGTGGAAGGAAACTGAGTGGATCATAGGAGATGAGAACTGCTCAGACTAACTTAGCATGCAATCGGTTCACAGGCCAGCACCAGAAAACATCACGATGTGGGCGATGCAGACAGACAGAGCAGGAGGGGCTCGGAGCAGAGAAACATCAGCTTCTGAGGGATGCTACACTGTGGCATAGGCAGGAATTCTGCCCCATGTGCCCACCAGCACTCGAGCCTCTTAGGTTCATTTTGGCAACAGTACAGGGAGGCTTTCCGAGGGAAAACATCATATTTTGATCAATTGTATTGTATCTCTTTACAAGAACACTTAAGTTTTTTAACTGAAGTATGTGTAGGTCCCTTTTCCAACCTCATAGGATGAAGACTGCGTTGGCTATATTTAACCCAATATGCATACTCCTCCTAGCCACACTTATGTGATGTAACAATGTAATTCCACAATCACTTTGGTTATAACAAGTCTAAATGCTAAGAGGGCTGCACCTTTAAAAACAATGTTCTATTTGTTCCTGGACGTTGGGACATGTACTTATCCTTCCCTTGGCAAAGGGAATTGGCAGCAGTCCTCAAAAGCCCCCAGCTGCATGCATGTAATACCCTCCTCATCTCAAAAGGGAATCGCACATCTTCCATCCCCCTGTTCCCTTTCCACAGGAAAACAAACACATTTTCAAATGCTCAATACAGCAGCAGATATGTGAATGCAACCAATTCTGTCTTTCCTAGTAACACTTACCTGGTTTTAGCCTTTAACCATTATATTAGGGATAGAGATCCCTAGTTTTCAACACACGTTTCAGATAGAGGCATTCAATTCAATTTCCCCAACGAAATTCAAGACATTTTAAGAAACCACTTGTAAAAAAAAAAAACATCTCAAAGTGCAGGAAGAAACAGTAATGTTTGCACAAAGCCTCTCCAGTCCTCTCTTGGTCCCTATAGACTCGATCTTCTCCTAATTAACACTCACCATTCATGAGCACGGAATGGCAGATCACACACACTCTGGCTTCCTTTCTCTCCATATATAGCAACTTGCACTTCAGGCTACAACACGCAGCACAGAAAACCTGTGGCAAAGAGAAAACACTCCAAATTACTCAGGATCCCCCAAAGCAGAGAGAACAGTGAGGAACTGGGCACAAGTTTTAATTGGAGCACTAGAAACCCAAAGAAGAAGAAGAAATTTAAATCCAGAGGCCAGGCCCAAGCATGAAGGGGCTTAGTTCTGAAATCCTAGGACTAAGATGATCCCGGATGTCAACAGCAAAGAAAATGAAGGGGTCTGTTGAGAATGATGACTTGCCAATGGTCTCGTACAGTGCTCTGCTTCTCATACTCTCCTTGGCATTCCAGTTAGCAAGTACGCATATATGTGCATATGAGAAAGACAGACAGACAGCAGACACAGCCAGCCAGAGGAAGGGAGGGAGGGTGAGACTGAGACAAAGACAGAGACCTAGGGAGTGAGAAACAGAGAAAGATAGACTGAAAAAGGAGACAAGGAGACAGAGACAAGACAGACACAGAGAGAGAAGGGAGGGAGAGGGGAGGGAGAGGGAAGGGAAAGAGAAAGAGAAAGAAAGAGAGAGAGAGAGAGAGAGAGAGAGAGAGAGAGAGAGAGAAAGAGAGAGAGAGAGAGAGAGAGCTGCTGATAGTAAGGATCATGTAAATTAATTCCATACACCTTGACTAAGCACCTCCAGGGTGTAAGCCCCTGGGCCAACAAATGACAGTCCCTGCTTTCAAGAAGCTGACAATCTGGGGTAGGTTCAGGCCCCCTCCCCTATAAAGGTTAGACAAACTGCTCCAGGCAATGTGAGGAAGAGAACACAGGAAGATGGCCTAATTATCCCAGTATTGCCACAGTGATTTGCATATAGTTGGCACTTAAAAATAGCATTCAAAGGAACCTGGACACACAGTACACCCAAAGCAGAGAGAGAACATGAGCTACCCATTTGTTCAGACAATTGGCAATATCCCAGTTAACTTTATCATACGTACATGAGAATCTAGGCTTCTGGCATTTCTATTTGGAAAAGTAATGTGGCAAAGTGAACTAAGTTGGAACGCCAACTCATGTTCTCTGGTTCTCTGAGTTTGGGTCTTTATCCCCCAAATAGATGTTAAGTTTCCTAAAAGCAGGACCATATGTGATCTAGACTACAGTCTCCTTGAGGGTTCAGCTCAGGAATGCCCACGATTAATCCACCAACCAGGAGACATGGAAGAAACAGTTGCTGCCTTCTACTGGAGGGCAGTACAGTAGTCTATGTAAGAGAGAATGAGTGTCAGAACTGAAGTACTTTACGGCCATGTATACGGAATGAGAGAAGTGTGAGAGATTGTGCAGCTAGAAACTAAAAAATCTGACAACTGAGTGGATGTGAAAGGGGAAGGAGAGTGGGAGTTAATGACTCCTACACTGTGAACCAAAGTGACTAGAAGGATGGCGACATCCCCAACAGGGCCTGGTTGAAACCCTCAAGACCTCTCAGCTAGACTGCTAAAACAGCCTTCAAATAACAGACAAACCCTCCAGCCTGGCCTGCACCCCTGCACAATCTCTCTCCAATCCACCTTTCCAGATTTATTTCATGTGACCCTCCCCTCCCCCATCGACTCTCTGCTCTAACCACAAAGGGTTACAGGCCGTGCCCAGTCTCAAACTGGCCTCTCACGCGGTTGTGAATTTGCAAGTACTGTCTCTCATGCCTAAAACAAGTTCTGCACAGTTCTGCTTTCAGAAATTCCCTTCTTTTAGCCCAGCTCAGGTGTCACCTCCTCCAAGAAATCTTCTTGATTCCCCTAACAAGAGATCCCTCATGCCTCAAATCTTTACTGTCATTCATTCTGTTTCACTTTTTCCATATATCAATCATACTTGAACTTAGCTTATAGTAATTTACACACATGCCTACCTCCTCCCCCAGATTTTAAACCCAATGAGGGCAAGGGATTTGTAATTTTGTAATGTTTCATTCTTGAGACCCCACAGCTAGAACAAGCTCTGTACACAGTAGGTGCTTAATATATGTGAGCTGACTGGCCTGTGCTCCCTGGTGTAAGGACTTCAAAAGCCTCCTCACCCCACTTTAGGAAGAAGTCTTCAGAAGCTCAAATCCCAAGTCATCCTGTCCAAACAAGCTCGGCAGGAATTTGCCCTTTCTGGAGTTGGGGAATTTGACTATCATCTGGCTAATGACTGGGCAGGCAGCTGCCCCCTCCCCCAACTCACATGAATTAATAGCAGTTTCCAGGTCCAGGCTCCTTCCTCCCTCCCTCCCCTCATGGCTGCTCCTACTTGCCCCACATTAGAAGCCTATACAAACCCACCAGACTTTACTAGGTTTCGGTGCCCCCTTCCACCAGGCCCTAGCACACTGGCCCTGGTTTCTATTCTCTTTGAATACTCTTCCTTGTTACATGCCCCCTCAGCTCTCTTGTTTTATTTTGTTGGGGGGAGGGGGTACACGCATGAACGTGTGCATGTGTGTGTTGCCTTATACTGGACTTTGGTTTCCCAAACAATTCCTATATTAAGACAGCCAGGCCTACACAACATATAGTCCATATAGCTTGTGGCCGCCAAAGGACTTCGGGAGGCCAGCAAAAAAAATGCAGGGTTGCCAATGCGCATGCTGTTTGTCACGTGACCTGCAGCAACCAACCATAGTCAGTCTGTCTCTAGTCTAACCTACTGAAGAAGTTTAGCCTATTTTAATTTTGGCCCCTACCTACTGCCAAGTTGTGCAGGTCTGCCCTAATGCTCCAAGCAGAGTGGTGATAAGCTCAGGTCGTTCGTTCAACAAATATTTAGGAAGCCCCTATTGTGCGAAGAGCTCTGGGTCAGATACCTGGTGCCCACACTGCTCCATTTTCCAGCACTCTGACAGCAGCGATCACAAACTACAAAGGCAGATAGGGGCCTTGTTTCTGCAGGACTTTTTCTTATAATCAGACAAGACAAACCACAGACAAAGCCATCAGCTATTAAGAGGGAAGTAAATGCTTCTATAATAGGTACATCTGCAGAAGGAAATCCACCATATGCAAGCAAGAGAGGCTGGCAGGAGTGAATTCTACCTGGTGCAAGGTCAAGTAGTAACTTGGAATTAGTGAAAGGCTCTGTCTGGAGCATCCTCCAGTCACAGATTTCTTACATTTTTCTGCTGATTCACAAGTCTGCCCCAAGTAAAGGAGACTAGGTTGCCTGGAGGATAGAGTACTGGACTTGGGAGTCCAGAAGACCTGAATTCAAATCCCACCTCAGATATGTACTAGCTGAGTGACTCTGGGCAAATCACTTAACCTCTGCTTGCCTCAGTTTCCTCATTTGTAAAACAGGGGTAATAACAGCATCTATCTTCCTATGGCGTTATAAGGACGAAATGAATTAATATAAAGCATTTTGCAAACCTTAAAGCAACATGCAAAACGCTAGTGGTGGTACTGTCATATACATATCCTGATGAGGCTGTTTCAACCAATTAGGAAAGCCATAACCTCTCTGGGCTCCAATGATCCCAACTATGAAATAACAAAGTTGAATTAGATGATCTCTAGGGTCTCTTCTGGATTCAAATCGTGGCTCTGATACCAATGAGATGATCGGTAGACAGATAGTTCCTTGTTTTTGCACACAGCATCCAGTACATTGCCTTGTGCAGAATAGGCTTTGAATGAATGTTGAAGTTTCACTGAATTGACCATGGAAATTCTGGAAACTCAGTTTTCTTATCTATAAAATTAGGATAATGCCTTTATTATCTAATAATAGTTATCTAATAATCAACCGAGGTAGAAAGAGAAACTGACTATGATTTCACAGCATTTGGAGGCTCATTTGACAAAGGTAGAAAGAGAGGCCAAAGTGAAAGGTCATGTGAGTTGCCCAAGGTCATGTGGGTATTCAGTATACTCCTAATTGCCCTAATGGGGGCCATCTCCAGTCATCCTGATCTATATCTTGCCAGTGGACCAGATGGCTCTGGATGAGAAAGTGAGACTGTTGATTTTGCACAGCCACTGCCTTACTTAAATTCAATTTACTTTCAAGTCATGGTACCACCTCCCTGATGTCATGGTCTCCTTCAAGAATGAAGATCAAACAATTACAATAATTGACCTAATAGTGATAAAGTTCTTAAGATTTACAAGTTATCAGGGGCAGCTAGGTGGCACAGTGCATAGAACTCCGGCCTTGGAGTCAGGAGGACCTGAGTTCAAATTTGACCTCTGACACTTGACATTTAACTAGCTATGTGACTCTGAGAAAGTCACTTAACCCCAATTGCCTCACAAAAAAAAGGCAAAAAAGATTTACAAGTCTCATCATCCCACATAGGAATATAAAGTTTAACCTTATCAAATCTTTTGTTTTTTCTTTCCTGTTTATCTTTTTATGCTTCTCTTGAGTCTCGTATCTGAAGATCAATTTTTTTATTTGGCTCTGGTCTTTAATTAGGAGTGCCTGAAAGTCCTCTATTTCGTTACATATCCATTTTTTCCCTTAAAGGATTATACTCAGTTTTGTTGGGTGGGTAATTCTTGACTGTAATCTTAGCTCCTTTGCCTTCCAGAATATCATATTCCAAGCCCTTTAGTCTTTTAATGAAGCTGCTAAATCTTGTGTAATCCTGATGATGGCTCTATGGTATTCAATTTGTTTCTTTCTAACTGCTTGCAGTATTTTCTCCTTGGCCAAAGAGCTCTGGAATAAGGCTGTAATTTTCCTGGGAGTTTTCATTTTGGAATCTCTTTCAGGAAGTGATCAGTGGATTTTTTTTTCCCCATTTCTATTTTACCCTCTGGTTCTAGAATATCAGGGCTGTTTTCCTTGATAATTTCTTTAAATACGATGTCTATGCTCTTTTTTTTTTTTTAAATCATGGCTTTCAGGTAGTTCATTAATTCTTAAATTACCTCTCATGGATCTCTTTTCCAGGGAGGCTGTTTTTCCAAAGAGAAATTTCACATTTTCTTCTATTTTTTTCATTCTTTTAATTTTGTTTTATCATTTCTTGATGTTTCATGGAGTCATTAGCTTTCACTTGCCCAATTCTAA